AATGTTAGTCCCAAGTGGAGTAAACCCACTGAGATATATGAAACTCAATGATTACTAACAAATTCCATTCATTTTAGTAGCTCTACTGGTATTGACACTAACACTTGAAGTCAGCCCAATGTGCCATCTTACAAATTCTGCATCAAGAACTTCATTTCTTTCTGATGTTTGCTTGACACCGCGACGAGACAGCAGCAGGAGGACAGAGCTCTGTTTCCTGAGCTGAATTCTGACCTGTTTGGGACACCCTAGGGTGTCGAAACCACCCCGGAGAGGTGGTGAACTAGGGGGACAACCTGTTGATCACAGAGGGGACGGCGGTCATCCCCGTTTGATCCAGGAAACTCCCTAATCAGCCAATGGGCAGAAACAAGCAGTTTCTTGCTTGCAAGTCGTTGGCAGCCGACAATAAGAGAAGCAATAATCAGCTATTCAACATCAGCGTTACTACCGGGTGAGATATATTTTTACAACTTATGAATGCTTATTATTACCACTGGAGAAGACAATTCTTATATACAGAAAAAAAGAACCTTCTATCAATCTCATCAATCAATTATAGAGCGGCAGAAAATCTGGAGAGAGGGATAGTTGATGCAAAGAAAATAATTTAAAGAATTATGGGATATTAACTACTCATTTAAATATATTTAAAATATACTTTAAGGACATTATAATTTGGCGTTATAAATCTTAAGAAACTTTCTCGTAAGTTACTATTAGTCAAGACTGGACTTTATCTCATGTTTCGACTATTTGAAGTTTTTTGGCATAACGCCCACAACAGTGACCTTGAGTAATCTACTGCTGATTAAAAGCCTGGAAACCTGTTTTTTAATTTCTTTTTGATTTTTTCATGCCTGGCTGGACAATTGACCCTAAAGTGGATCTTTTTAAACTGCACTGTGGAAATTAGTATATTGGACCAAAGTGAACTTTTTGGAACCACCTCCAGGGATCTGGAATTCCAGTTTTGGCTGATGCAGAAATGCGGGAACTAAGCTACCAGGACATGGATACACTGAATTGGATTGTGATATTTGGGGTTTTTGCACCACAGTTTAGGCCTGTTTGGCCAAAGCAGATCCTCTGAGAACTGCCCCGGGAGCTGGAAGTGTTTGTGTTTGACTAGCTGGCATAAAACCTGTGGGAATTAGGCCATCAGGCCACGGATATAACCAGTGCATTGTACCTTCGTACTTTGGAGGTTTAAATTTTGGTTCAGGCCTATTTAGCCAAAGCGGACTCTTTGAATTGACTCTGGAGACTTGGAATATATGTTTACCTGGCATCAATTTACCAGGGATCAACTAGGACACAGATACGATCAGCGAACTGGACTGTGAGACTTGGGGGCTTTGAATCTTGGGCAGCTGGAACAGAATGGCACAGCAAGAGCAATTTTGGGATGAAACAAAATCTACCCTTCAAACAATACTAGAAATAGTGAGATCCCACTACCAAGAGGAAAAATTATTTAATGAACATCTGAAGAATTATAGTCAACAAGAGACAGGGAATAATGAGGAAGGAAATGCCATTGTTGGATCTCACAGAGTTATATACCAGAACTATTCTAAGCAGTCAAGGGCCTATTACATGCTGGCCTACAGGAAGAGAACACAGACCACACTGTGAAGATTTTGCATAGCACTTTGAACAAAAACACACTTGGATCGACTCTGACTTGGAAGTTGTAATTGATACAGATCCTGTGAACTGAATTATGATCCGTGCTCAACCTGTGATAATCAATAAGTTTAAATTTCTGCAGCTTAAACTTTAAGTTTCTGAGAATGTGAATAGAACCCTTGGAGAGGTGAATGGCTACCACATGTCTGCTGGACCCTCGTCCTTCCTGGCATATGAAAGCTGTCAGAGATTGATCAAGTGGCTAGGAGGAGGAGTGAATGCCTCCATGAAGCGGGGAAAGAGCCCAGCATGTACAAAGGAGGAAGTAGTAAGCCCTCCTTGGATCCCACAATACCGGATAATTACTGGCCAGTCTATAATACCCAAGCCCCATGGCACAATGGTTAAACTGCAGTACTGAAGCTCAGACTCTGCTCAGGTAGCTCAGACTCTGCTCATGGAAGGTTGACTCAGCCTTCCATTCTTCCAAGGTTGGTAAAATGAGTACCCAGCTTGTGGGAGGTGGGGGGTGGGGAAGAAGGAGGGTTGAATAGGGAGCCAGTCTGCACATGATAGGGTTACATTTTCCATGCAAACAAGATGTGCAGCATGGGTTTGCTCCTGGATTCATCCCTGAACCTGGATGTCCAGATTTTGACAATGGCCAGGAGTACCTTTGCACAGTTAAAACTAGTGTGTGAGCTGCACCACTTCCTAGAAATATCTGATCTGACATGGTGACACACACCTTAGCTACATCCAGGTTGGATTACTATAACATGCTCTATGTGGGGCTGCCTTTGGAAAATGCTTGGAAATTTTAGTGGGTCTTAAATGCTGCAGCTGCAGCTGGTTACAGGGATCACATAACCCACTGTTACAGCAGCTACAATGGCTGCCAGTCAATGTCTGGGCACAGTTCAAAGTGCTGGCTTTGACCTACAAAGCCCTAAATGACTTAGGTCTGCGTTACTAGAAACACTGAATTTCCCTTTATGAGCCTGACCAAGTATTAAGAACAGCCAAGGAGGCCTTTCTCTTAGACTTACCACTCTCACAAGTACATTTGATGAGGACATGGGAGAGTGCCTTCTCTTTTGCTGCTCTCAGACACTGGAACTCCCTCCCAAAGGAGGCCAGGCTGCTCCCATCTTTGCTATCCGTCCACAAGCAGGCAAAGACCTCTCTCTTCAAGCAGGCTTTCTTTTAGTGACTAGCTGTCTAAAAAGGAGTACTTAAAACTTTGGCATTTCTGTTGTTTTTAATGTTATTATTACCATCTTTATTATTAGTTCTTTATACTGTACTTGTTTAATTCTTTTTTAAATATTGCAATAATTTATCATCCTTAGCTTTAAATACTTTTTTTAATGCTGTAAGCTACTTTGGATGCTTTTTAGGGATGTGTGTGTTTGTGTGTATGTTCCTTAATAATTAACATACAATGGGTGAAATCCTGTTGCTTAGCACAGCAAGTCACACTGCAGTGGGCCTATTAAATCAGTGGGGTTTATTTAGTCAATTCCTCCATATGCTCTATTAATTCAAACAGGTCTACTCTTGCTGTGGTTTACTTAAGCACATTAAGTTTCAACTAGAGTAGGCCTGTTTTAATCAGTGGAATTGATGGAGGAATTGTGTCACCAAATTTCCACTGATCCAATGGGTAACTCCATTGTGATTAACTACATAAAAAACAGGACTTCGGCCTAAATGATCAAAGTTACATATAAAAAAAGACTTTCTCCTTTTAGAATCAAGTTATGTGCTCCCAAGTCAGAACCAAGTTTGTCGTCGTCGTTTAGTCGTGTCCAATTCTTCGTGATCCCATGGACCAGAGCACGCCAGGCCCTCCTATCTTCCACTGCCTCCCATAGTTGTGTCAATTTCATATTGGTTGCTTCGCAGACACTGTCCAGTCATCTCATCCTCT